GCCCGGCCCGGCCCGCGCCCCCGGCCGGGACCCTCCGGCACCCGCGGGGCCCCCGCCGCCTCCGGGGACCAGACCCGCGGTGGCCCCGGTGCTCCCGGGATCTGGCCGAGTAACCCTGTCCCGGGATGTCCGTGCGTCCCCGGGATGCACCGGGCACCGCTGACCCGGGATGTCCACGTGCCCTCGGGATGCCCCGGGGTGCCCCGGGATGTCCCCAGGGCCCCGACCCGCGATGGCCCCGGTGCTCCCGGGATGCCCCGAGTACCGCTGACCCGGGATGCCCGTGTGTTCCCAGCGTGTCCCCAGGCACCTCTGCCCGGGAAATCCCCATGGCCCCGGGATGCCCCACGGTGCCCCGGGATGCTCCGAGAAGGCTTCAGCCCAGCGATGCCCCAGGCAYCTGTGTCCTGGCATGGCTCTATGTCCCCACGGCGTCCCTGGACACTCCATGTCCACTTGCCCTGGCTGCTCCCTGCCCACCCAGCCCCATCCTCCTCCCAAGGGGGTTCCAGCTTGGGCAGGCCCAGGAATGGCTCTTGAGGGATTGGGGACTGGGGTGACAAGCTGGGAGGGGATCACCATGGTGACCTGCCTAATTCTGGTTAGTGTTCCACAGGGACAGTGATGGGCACTGACCCCATGGCCACCATGGCTGTCCTAGACCACTGCTCACTGCCCCCTCAGACCGGTGGGCATCACGCACGGGGGTCCCCTGCAGTTGTGGGGCTGCTGGTGGCCAAAATCCCTGGAATTTGGGAATAAAGCCTCCAGGGGGTGATCGTGGGCATCCTCCCACTTGTGCCCTCCCCCTGGCCCAGGTGCAGGAATGGAACATGGAGGCACCTCACCTGATGCCGCTGCAGCCACCACTGCTGCCAGAGCGGGCACATGTGCGGGAGGCGCAGCTCCACTCCGCCGAGGCCTCGCTCTGGACCGTGGTGGCCACGGTGCAGGCCATGGAGAGGAAGATCGACCTCCTGGCCACCCGCCTGCTCAGCCTGGAGGGCCGCTCCGGCACGGCTGAGAAGAAGCTCCTGGACTGCGAGAAGACGGCCATGGAATTTGGGAACCAGCTGGAGAGCAAGTGGGCTGTGCTGGGCACCCTCATCCAGGAGTACGGGCTGCTCCAGCGGCGCCTGGAGAACGTGGAGAACCTCCTGAAGAACAGGAACTTCTGGGTGCTGCGGCTGCCCCCTGGCCCCCGTGGCGAGGTCCCCAAGGTAGAGTGTCCTGGGGGGCTACAGGACAGTGGGGGGATCCTTGGTTTCCCTGGGGAGTGGGTGCCGTTGAGCTGGGGGGTCTTGTCCCCACAGGTGCCAGTGACGTTTGTTGACATCGCCGTCTACTTCTCAGCGGAGGAGTGGAAGAACCTGGAGGAGTGGCAGAAGGAGCTGTACAACAACCTGGTGAAAGAGAACTATGAGGCTTTGCTGTCCCTGGGTAAATGTCCCTTTTCCCCCTTTCCTGTCAGGATGGAGCGATGGCTGCATCTCCCCTGAGGGTCCCCAGCGTGGGTGCCCTGGTCCCTGCCAGTGGTAGGTGGTGGTTCCCGCTGTGTCCTGGGATCACCCATTCCAGAGGGAACACTCCACAGCTCGTGCTGTGTGGGTGGGGACAGGGTGACATGCTGTGCCATGCCAGTGCTGCYCAGGGGGCTGGAAAGGGTCCTTGTCCCCCAAAACCCAGGAATTGAGCRTCCACCCTACAGTGACCTGCAGCATGGAGGTGCTGTGGGATTTGGGCAGGTTGTCTTCCAGGAAGGATGCTAGGGCTGCCCAGTGTGTCCCCAGTGTGTCCCCCCATGTCTGGGTGACATGGGAGTGTGACACCAGTCTGTGTCCCCCGCAGATGGGGCCCTCTCCAGAAACGAGGCACAGCCCCGCAGCGAGCGTGGGGAGGGTCCCTGTGTCCCCGAGCAGCGGGAGCTGGAGCAGAGGGAGCTGCCGCCGGACACCTGCGCGGGTGAGGCACCGCGGAGGGACCCATGCCCTCTGTCCCCCATCTCTTGTTCCCCTCCCACCCCAGGGATGCCCCTTCCCCCACAGCCCCATCCCCGCTGGGCCCAGTTCTCCAGCTGTGACTGGGAACTGCCATGGATGACCCCAGAAAATTTAGGGTGTGACTGTTGTGCTGGAGGTCTTGGATCTCCATCGCTGGGCGATCCACGTGTCCCCCACTGCCCCCAAGTTGTGTCAGAGCCCTTGGGCTGTGTCACAGCCCCATTAGCTCCATTGGCCATGCCATTGTCACCTGTCCTCAGTGGGCTGTGCCGCAGTCATCTGCTCCCAAGGGTTGTGCCTGTCCCCAAGGGCTGTCTCAGGGTCACCCATTGCCAAACGCTGTCCCACAGTCACCCATCCCCACAGCTCCCTGGGTGTGTTGCATGTCCATAACTGCTGTGGGAAGGGGATGTCCCGTGTGGCCGGAGCCTGGGGATCCCACACCACGGGGTGTGATGGCYGAGGGTTGCACCGCGTGGCTCCATCCTGGCCCCAGCCAAGTCTCTCCTTGTGAACAGAGTCGCTGATCTCCACCTCCGACATCCTGTCCCGGATCAAGCAGGAGGTGGCCTTYGTGGGGGAGCAGCAGTTCCCGGAGGAGCGGGGGATGCCACCAGACCCCTGTGCAGGTGAGCCCGGGGTTGAGCCATTCCCTCTCCATCCTCCTGGAGCTGGACACGGCCCCACGTGGCTGAGTCCCCGGCCCCACCGCTGTCCCTCCCTGCAGGCGCGGACGCCCTGATCACCGCGCACGACTTCTTGTCGTGGATCAAGCAGGAGGAGGAACCCTGTGTCCGGGAGCCCTGGGAGCTGCCGGAGAGGGAGATGCTGCCCCCGGCTCCTGGTCCTGGTGAGCGACCCTCACCGTGGGGCTGGGGTGGGGCTGGGGCGGGGGGAGCACCCACCCAGGACGAACCTGGGGACATCGCCACGTTCCCACTAGTCACTGACCAGTCTTTCTGTCCCGTGCAGCCAGCGAGGGGCTGCTGGTGAAGACGGAGGAGCGGTGCCCCCACGCCGAGCCCCCCGAGGAGGTGGGTTTGCCGGGCAGCTCCGGGGAGCTGCTYTTCCCCGGCACGGGTTTCGGGACCCCCGAGGGACAGGCGGCGGCGGTGCCCGCGGCGGTGGCTCTGCCGGCGCAGCACAGACTGGGCAAAGCTCCGGGCCCCGAGCCGGGCCCCGGGGCCGATGCCGGGGGCGTCCCCGCGGCGCCGCCGGGCCCCGCCGAGGAGCGGCCGCACGGCTGCGCCGAGTGCGGGAAGAGCTTCAGCGGGAAGAAGAGCCTGCGGATCCACCAGCGCAGCCACGCGGCCGAGCGGCCCTACCCGTGYGCCGAGTGCGGCAAGAGCTTCAATTGCCACTCGGGGCTGGTGCGGCACCAGATGATCCACCGCGGCGAGCGGCCCTACAAGTGCTCCGAGTGCGGCAAGTGCTACAGCCGCAAGGAGCACCTGCAGAACCACCAGCGGCTGCACACCGGGGAGCGCCCCTTCGCCTGCGCCCAGTGCGGCAAGAGCTTCATCCGTAAGCAGAACCTGCTCAAGCACCAGCGCATCCACACCGGGGAGCGCCCGTATCAGTGCCCCGCCTGCGGCCGCAGCTTCCGCTACAAGGAATCCCTCAAGGACCACCAGCGGGTCCACGGTGCTGAGGCGGGGCCGCCGCCGCTGCCCCCGCCCGGGATCCTGCCCCCCGGGGACTAGGGGCCGCCCCGCCGCGGACTGACCGCCCCGGCACGGGGACGGCCGCCGGCCACGCAGCTTCCGACCAAATCGAGGTGCCCGGCCGGAGCGGGGGGCGCGCGGGGAGCCCCGGGCGGGGACGAGTCCCCAGGTCCCCCGCCGCGGACGGACACTTGACCCCCAGCGCTGCCCCCACGGACAATGTCGCCGCACGGGGTGGGGGGCAGCCCCCCGCCGTGTCCCCCCGCACCACCCCCGCCTGCCGCTCTGTCCCCTCGCCCCCGCTGCTTATTTTTACTGCCCCCCCGCGCCGTCCCGCTGTACAGTGCTTGGGGTGTAGTTTTGTATGGACGAAGCGATACGGAATAAAGTCGTGCTGGGCTGCAGAGCCTTCGGCACCTCCACTGCGGGTCCCCCGTGCTCTGTGGCCGCSCTTCTGCCCCGTCCGGGGGTCCTGCGCCATGTGAAGGCAGCGACACCAGGGTGGGGACAGGGGGAATGTGGTGGTGGGACACGGGACARTGGGAATGGCGGCACGGTGGATGCGGTCTCAGGAAGTCCCTGTGTCACCGGCTGCAGCAGCCTCGTGCCGGTGGGGCTGTGTGGAGACCCCCACTCCTGCCCTTCCTGTTACCGACCCATTCCTGGGTCCTTCTTGTCTCCTGTCCTTGACCCATCCCCAGGTTTCTCCTACCCTTGATTTGGAGATAGGAGTTATTTCACCCAGTTTGTTCCCCACAGCCATGGGAAGCCGTGGCACTGCCCTAGGCACCCCGGGGTCCCCAAGCTGAGTGCCACCATCCTCCTGGGAGGCCACAACTACAGCAGGGTGACCCCAGCTCCTGCTGTCCTATTGCTCTCCCTGGGGGCTGCACCCACCTGCCCTGTCCCACCTGGGGGGAAGGAGATGTCACTGAGCAGAATGTGGSTGTCAAGGGGCCCTGGGTGTTGGGGGGTTGGAACAGGGGACAGCACAACGGGGACACAGCACAGGGCTCAGTAGTGCTGTCACCCTGATGGAGGCTGGAGATGGAGGGGGGAGACAGGAGGTGCAGTGTTGGGGTGCCCTGGGGACACTGTACATGCCATGGGGACCTCAGACACTCCCGGGGGACCCTGCACACTGCTGGGGACCTTGGGTGTTCCCTGGGGACCCTACATACTGTCCAAGGGCCTTGCATGATGCCAGGGACCCTTCACACATTGCACCTTGCCTAGGTACTCCAAATCCTGCTGGGGTACCTTGGACACTTCCTAGGAATCCTGCACATACCCTGGGGACCCCGCACACTCCATGGGGACACAGCTGGGGAACTCAAAMACTCCTTGGGGACACGCACACTCCTGGAAGATGTCAGGCTGCCTGGGCGCTGCACATTCCTGGGGACCCTGTGGACTCCCTGGGGACACTGCACTTTCCCTGGGGGCACTGCACACTGCTGGGGACCCCAAACCCTGCCTGGGGACCCCAAACCCTCCTGGGCAGAGGATCCTGCACGCTTCTCCAAGCTGTACAGGCCGTTGCCCTTCTCCAGATGCACACAGCTGCTRGTTCCAAGCCTGGATAGCACAGCTGCTGTTCCCAACGCTGATCGCAGGGTGCTGGGCTTCCCCAAAGGAGTGGGGTGAAGCTCATCTGTCCCATGGCCTTGTCCCTGTTCTGCAGGGCTGCAGAGCCATGGGTCAAACGACCTCCCGGCCCAGCTCCTGCCCCCGCACAGAGATCACACACAAAACCATCTTGTCTTGGTTTTTTTGGAGGTGTTTTTTTTTTTAACAGAAGTTTTATGGTTATATGCAAATTAGGTCATTAAATGATTTGCATAAAATGTTCGCATGTCAGCGACTAAGTGTTCCTAACTCCCACCCCCCGACAGGTAGTAAATCCTACTGGACTAGCGCCGTCACGCCGCGCTGTCACGCGTGTCCCCCGCGGCGTCACCTCACGCRCGCGGGGAGGGGACGTGCGGCCACCTGCCCGGAGCGCTCCGAGCCCGCGGCAGRCGGGAGCGGCTCCGGCCGCCCGCGTCCCCCGTCCCTTCCCGCGGGGATCCGGGTGCCGCCCGCGTCACCGCACACCGTCCCCCCGGGGCGGCCGCGGGCACTCCGTGTCCTTGGCGGGGCGGCTCCCGCCCGTCCCTAGCTGTTGGTGAGGAAGAGGCGTCTGTGTCGGGAGGCGGAGCCGCGCGGCCGCCCGCGGCGCCGGCCCCGGCCGCGGTTGCCGAAGGGGCTGCGGCTGGGCACGGCGGCGTCCGCCCAGCCGGCGCTCCCGGCCGGCGGCTCGGGGAAGCCGGGCTCGGCTTTGGGCTGCTCGAGGAGCGGGCTGGGGTCGCGTTGGGGCTCGGGGGGCGGCGGGGCCGGGCTCTGGCGGGCGCCGGCGCGCTCCTGGCGCAGGTAGCGCAGCTCGTCGCGGATGTCCGTGAGGACGCCGAGCAGGCGGAACTGCAGCTCCCGGTCGCGCGCCCGCTCCTCGCGCTGGGTGGCCCGCTCCTCCTGCCACATGGCCAGCTCCTGGTGGTACAGCTGGTCCCACTGCTCCTCCAGGTCGAGCAGGTGATGGATGCTAGTCCTCCAGCTCTCCCGGCGSTCCTCACGCAGGCGGGAGCAGCCGAGCCCGCGGGCGGGGCCGGGGGCGGCCGGGCCATCTCCCGGCGGGGAGGCAGAGGAGGGCAGCGATTCCTCGGTCAGGGCGCCGTGCAGCGGGGAGCGGGCCGGGGGCTCCTCGTCCGCCGGAGCCTTCTCCCAGGTGGGCCCCATCAGTACCCTGGGCAAGGCGCCCATCTCTGGGCCCGGGCCCCCCGCCTGCTCCTCRGGGTGCGCCGAGTCCACCCCGCGGCCTAGGGCAGGCAGGTCGGACACGCCCTCGTGTCCCCAGTCCGAATGAGCGTCCGCGGGGTTGAGGGAGTCCTCAGGCAGGGAGGTGACAGAGCCCTGGGAGCTGCACCGGCGGATCAGCATGGCCTGGCGGGACACCTTCATGTCCTCCTCTGCTGGCATGGGGGCCTCGGGCCCAGGCTGCATCCCCGCGGACCCGCCGTGGCCCCTCTCCACCTCCCGGCCTTCCCGTTCCTCCTCCTCCGACATGGAGGCGTAGGAGACCAAGGACTCGTTTCGCAGGGATGGGGAGATGGCYGACACGTCTGGAGTGCGCAGCTCGGGTCCCGACTCGGCTGGCAGAGAAAAGAAGCAAAGCCTCTGGTGAGCCACAGCACTGCCAAGGCCCTCTGGTCCTCTCTGATAGATCTCCACCCTGACCCAGCAAACCTCCATTCTGACCCAGCAGATCCTCATCCTGACTCTACTCCCAGCAGATCCCCATCCAGATCCCCACTGCCAGTGGATCTTCAACTGAAACCCGCTCCCAGCAAATCTCCATCGAAACCCGGGTGCCAGAGGGTCTCCATCCGGATCCCACACTTCCCAGCAGATTTCCACCCAGACCCAGCAGATGTCCATCCTGCCCCGCTCCCACCAGCCCGTGCCTGTTGCCACCGTACCGGAGCCGCTCTGGCCCTCTCCTCGGCTGTACTCGCAGACGCCGGCGGGGTCGGGGCTCTGTCCCGGCAGGCGCGGCACRGCCGAGCCCTCCACGTCGGGCAGGGCCGAGGGCTGCCCGTTGGTGTCGATGTAGATGCTGGGGTGGCTCACGCCGGGCTGCAGGTGCACGAAGGGCTGCTTGGATGCGCCAGGGAAGAACAGATCTGCGGGACACGGAGGATGCGGCTTCAGCTGACGGGGACACGGTGGCCCCCAGGCACAGATGCTCCTGCAAGGCCATCCCGCGGCCATCGCTCACCCACACCTGTCCAGCACCACCCTGAACTCCGAGGGGGCTGACACCCCCTGCTGCCAGAGAGTCATGGGATCAGGGAATAACCCACTAAGATCATGAGTTCAGCTCCCAGCCCTCCACAGATATCCCAACAATCCCCTCCCTGTGCATCCCTGGCAGTGCTGTCCAAAAGCTCCCAGAGCTCTGGCAGTCTCAAGGCCATGCCCATTCCCTGGGGAGCCTGGGCAGTGCCCAGCACCCTCTGGGGGAAAAACCTATCCCAGCCTGACCTCTCCCCAGCACAGCTCCACACCATTACACAGGATTTCTTCATACAGCCTAAAGCCCTCCTGCTTKGCACATGACCAGTGTCTGGATCAGAGATACCCGAGTCTGGACCACCGGGATTGAGCCCCATGATGCCCAGTGAAACCAGAGAACCATGTTGGGATCAAACAGMGTCARTTAAAGAGAAGGAAAAAAAACAAAAAAGACATGCTCCTGCAAAGTTTGARGTGTTGYTGCTGATCCCGTTSATCTGGCACAGGATGCCCAGAGAAGCTGTGGCTGCCCCTGTGGAAGTGTCCAAGCCCAGGCTGGACGAGGCTTGGAGCACCCTGGAGCAGTGGRAGATRTCCCTGCCCATGGCACTGGGTGGAATAGAATATACAGGTCCCTTCCAACTCAAACCATTCTGGCATTTCTGTGATTCACTGAGCCCAGGTTATTTCCACAGAGGATTTCTGATCCCAGCCCRCACCGTTCCCTACCCTGGTAATTGGCACTTGGGTACAACGTGACCATGGCTTTGCTGGGTGCTCTATTCCCAACACAAATCCCAGAGTCTCTTTCCACAATCCACAGTGGCCAGCTCAGAATGCCAGCGTGGCCGGATGTCCTTCGGGGAGCACAGCGGGAACGCCAATGCTCCAAGCATCCTCTGCCTGGAGAACCGCCACCACTGACCTGGGTCCAGGATGATCTCGGGCTCCGAGTCGTGGCTGGCCTGCAGGAAGGTGGAAGCCACCATCTTCTCCAGGGGTGTGAGGCGTGGCTTGTGGAGCGGCCCCCCGGCGCGGTTCATGGGCAGGTGCTTCTTGGAGGTGATCTTCTTCTTGACGTCCAGCCGCAGGTCRCGCCACTTGTGCTTGAGGTCGTCAATGGAGCGCTCGGTGTAGCCCAGGAAGTTGACGCGGCTTTGGATTTGGGTCCAGAGCTGCTTCCGCCGCACGGGGTGAGCCCGCAGGGCCTCGGACCCGTACAGGGCGCTGAAATGCCGGACCACATTCCAGACCAGCGTCTCGGTCTCGTCATTGGAGAAGTTGGCCTTCCTCTTCCGGCCAGACGCTGGCATCGCCTGCGAGGCTGCGGCAGAGGTGGAAGGGGCACAATTGAACCTCGGTCCCCACTCCTCTCTGTCAGCTCCTKGGGGGAACATGGGGCTGCGGGAGCCCGAGGGAGCCGCGGAGGAGGGAGCCGAAGCAAGAGCCCCGGAGGCATCCATGGCAGGGGAGGCTTGGGCCGGGGAGGATCTAAAGAGCCGCTTCGGCACAGCACGCGGCACGGGCGCACCGCATCGCCTCGCCCGGCTCGAGAGCACCTGGGAGGGGAGAAAAGGAAAGGGCAGCGGTGGGTGGTGGCAGCGCGGGGGGACGACGAGGGTYCCCCGGCTCTCTGCAGCCGGAGGCACCCAGGAGTCCCCAGCCAGCCACTGGGGGGGCCGCGAAAGGGGACTTGGCTGTGCCACGCATCGGGACCGCGCTGAGGGGTCGTGGGGAGGGCCTCGGGCACGGCAACCACCGTGGAGCCATGGTGCCACCTCAGAGGGTGCTGAGAGCACCTCAGGGCTGGGCTGAGGGTGATGGGGGCACCTTGAGGCTACAGCGAAGGTCTCATGGCAATGCTGGCCATAATGGGGAAAGTCTTGGGTGTGATGGGCACTTTAGGTCCCCAGCCAGGGTCTCACGGCTACAGCACTGACCAAGACCTGACGGACGGGTCTAGGGGCCACTCAAAGGCCTTGGCCATGGTGAGCACCTCAAGGCCATGGTGCAGACCTCGGCTAAGAAGCAGGCCTTGGCAAGGGTCTTGGCCATGGTGAGAACATTGAGAGCCCAGTGAGCACCTCGAGTTCCCGCTGAGGACCTTGGGGTCATGGTAAAACCCACGGCCACAGCAAGAGCCTCAAGGCCATGGCAAAAGGCATCACTGAAGGCCTCAGCCATGGTGAACAGCTCAGGCTCCCAGARAGCACCGTGGCAGCAGGGCAGTGCTCGAGGCCATGGCAAGTGTCACAAGGCCATAATGAAGGGCTTGGCAAAYGCCTTGGCCATGATGAGCACCTCAAGATCCCGGTGAGGACCTGGGACCACGGCAAAGACCTTGACTCTGGGAACACCCTGGGCTCCCAGGGAGGACCTTGCGGACACAGCAAAGACCTTGGCCACGGCGCGCACCTGAAGCTCCCAGTGAGCAGCCCAGGGCCAAGACAAGGACCATGGCCATGGTAAACACCGTGGTGAAGACCCCAAGCTCTTCCTGAGGAACTTGGGACCACGTCAAAATCCTTGGCCGTGCAAAGCGCTCCAAGACCACAATGAACCTCTTGGCCATGGTGCACCCCTGGGCCAGGTGTGCACACCTCGGGCTCTCACGACGAGCACGGGACCACGGCAAAGACCACGGCGCCCACCCCGGCCACCCATGGCACCCTCAGCCCCGGCAGGAGCTCCGCACCAGCATCGTGCAGACCCCGCAGCCCCGARGTGCCTCTGCCGCCCCTACGGTGCCCCAAACTCCCTCCGCATCCTCGGAGCCCCCGGCAGCGCCCACAGCCGCGGCCTCGGGGCGCCCGGTGCGGGGCCCGGGGGGCTGCGCGCCGCCCTCCCCCGGCTTTGTTCGCGCTCCTCCGACCGGGGACAAAGCGGCCGGGCCGGGGCCTGCCCCGCGGACCCCCYCCCATTCGGGATCCCACTGCGGGGGGGTGCGCGGGGCAGGCACCGGCCGCGGCCCCATGGCTGCCCCCGCCCCGCCGGAGCCCCCGGCCCCGGGGCATCGCTTACCTGTGCCGGGACGGGCGTGCGGGGCGCGGGGGGCGCGGAGCGGGGCCCCGGCGGCGGCGGGAGGGGGGGGCTCAGGTCCGGCGGCGGGTAATGGCTCCCGCCTCGGCGGAACTCGCCTTCATTTCCTCCGAGCGCCGGCGCGGGCCCTGCGCGACACCGCCGCCCGCGGGCCCCCCCTGGCGGCACCGCCGCGAACGGGCGGGGGCGGGACCGGCACCGGGCACAGCCCCGCGGGGGGACATCACACCGGGAGGGGACATCACTCCGGGAAGGGACATCACACTGGGACGGGACATCCCCGCATTCCACCCCGAGGGGACGGCAGGTACCCGTTGCGGTTGTATCCCCGTGGAGATGCCCCCGGAGCGATACATCCCTGTATCCCGCTCCCGAGGGGGCCGAGGGTACCCCCGTGGGGCGGTATCTCCGCGGGGATCCCGCCATGTACCCCCGCCATGGTGCCTCCCGTGGGGGTCCCACCCCAGCGCACCCCATGTACCCCCATGACGGTGGATCATCGYGGGGATCCTGCTGTGCACCCAGTCCTCTCCACTTCCCCACCCGTGATCGTGCATCCCTGTGGGGGTGCCCCCTGCTGCACCCCGTAACTGTATTCCCCTGTAACTGCATCCCCCCTCCCCTGSGTGCTGCTGTGCTGTATCCGTGYGGGGATCCCCCTGTGGACTCCACCCCTGTGTCCCCCCATGGTCTCTGGGGACACCTCTGTCCCTCCCTGGTGGCCTGGTGGCCTCCAGCTGCCCCTGACTCTCCGTGGACATGCAGAGGGTCATCCCCATAGCCCATCCCACCTCAGGGACCCCGGTGTGGGACAGGGGGGGCCTATAAAGGGGACGCACAGGGTGCCCTGGGCGCCACCAAGGCTGGCAGAGCTGTGACGAGGTGGTCAGCCAGGTCCTCACTGCCTGCAGGAGATGCCGTGGCCCTGGCACTCAGGTGGGGATGGCACAGCTCTGGGTACTGTGGGGGTCACGGTGTCCCCAGGCCAAGGTGAGGGAAGGAAAGGGGGATTTGGGGTGGCCTTGCTACTCCCAGAAACTCTGGGGGGCTCTGCCTCACTCCCAGCAGATGCCACAGTAGAATAAAACCACCCGTGTTAACTTTGCTGAATTCCAACTCTTTAATGCCTGTAACAATCCTCTGGGTACCACGTGGTGACAGCAGCTGGTGGTACCCGGTTCCCCCATGGGAAGGAGCTGCTGTCCCCAGCACAGGGACACCCCAGCACCACCCACAACCCCCCACAGCAGTCACAACTACACCACTCAGGGCAAATCCCCACTGGCAGCAGCTCCACACCATTTCCTGTTGGCTGCAGCAGCCCCCCCTGCCCCCAGGGAGAGGGTTCTGGCAGCAGGTTTGTGTCCCCAGAATTGCCACTACCCCATGGGTGACACACAGAGCGTAGTGGCCCCACAGCCCCCACGCATGGTATCTCATGGGGCCATACAGACCCACAGCAAATCCCACRGCACAACTGCAGGGAACAGAGGCCAGGCCGCTCCAGTGACGGCCCCAATGAGAACCTGTCCCTGTCATGGGCACGAGCTGGTCCAAGCTGTGCCAGCCACCCGGTCAGTGCTTGGGAGGGGTGTCCCCGAGCAGGGCTCGCCCTGTGCCGGCTGACACCATGTGCACCGCATCCTCCAGCTCGTAGAAAGCCTGGAAGAGGTCTGGCGAGGTGGCCTGGCACTCCAGGTACCGCCGCAGCGTGGCCAGGCTTCTCCAGACCTCCCGCTCCGAGGGGCAGGGTGGCACAGCCGCCAGCTCRCTTGCGTCCTCGCCCTCCGCCATCCCCTCGTCTCCGTCCGCCTCCGCCGGGTCACCGTCACGCTCCCGTCCGAGCAGGCCGGGCGCCGGGGTGAGTGACACGGCCTCAGCGCCAACATCAGGGGTGAAGCCAGCRGCACGGAAGCAGCTGGCGATGAGCCCCGGGTGAACATCGCCCCAGGCTTGTGCCAGCATGTGCAGCACATCCAGCAGGCTGGGCTGCCCCGCGCCGCGCTCTGCTGGCAGCCACCGCAGCAGCCGGCGCCGGTAGTGGCCCTTGAGGTCACTGGCGATGCCACGGTCCAGGGGCTGGGCCAGAGCGGCAGCCGGCGGGATGAAGGCCATCCTGACGTTGGACAGCTGGAGGTAGGGGTGCSCCTCGTGCTCGGCCAGGAGCAGGAGGACACTCTTGCCCTGCCGCCGCATCCCCTCATTGAACTCCCGCAGCCACTCAGCGAAGAGCGGCGCAGTCAGCCCGGCCATGCTGCCGGCACGGTAGCTCCACGGCATCTGCTCCAGGTTGACGCCCCGCAGGCAGCGTGGCCGGGGGCTGTCCCCCACTGCTCGCAGYGGCACCTTCTCTGAGCCGCTGGCATTGGCACAGAGCAGCAGTGTCAGCCGGTCCCCGGTGCTCTCGCCCTTGCCGGGGGCGCCAGCTGGGAGCAGCACCACAGTCTCCCCACAGGCGAAGATCTCGGCGGGCGYGTAGYCGCGGAGGAGACCGGGCAGCACCAYGCCGGCCCAGTGCTCCACCGTGGGCTGRTCCGCGTCCCCCTTCTCCGCTGGTGGCTTCTTGCTGGCGAGGCCGTGGCGAGCGCCCACGCGGGCCAGCCAGCCGCCGCTGGGCTCGGGGTCGGGCTGGGCCAGCACCCCAGCCAGGTGCCTGGCCCTGAGCTGCAGCAGTGGGCGGCCTGCGGGCAGGTCGGCGGCACGGGCACCCTCCACCCAGCGCAGCAGCGCGGCCTCCAGCGCCACGTCTTTGCCCTCCCGCTTGCGCTTGCGCTCRGGGTCACCGTTGTGGTGCCACTCGCTCAGGATGCGCTCCTTGTTCTTGATGATGCGACAAATCTGGGGCTGAGACACCCCGAAGCGCTTAGCCAGCTCGCTCTGAGACACCTTGGGGCCCTCCAGCATCTCCAGCACCCGAACCTTCTCRGTCAGCGACAGCTCCTTCCGCTCCTTCCGTGGTGCTGCAGTCACTCCCTCCGCCGTGCCCGGGGAGCGGCCAGCGCAGGGGGCGGGGCGGTGGGGGCTGCCCGTGGCCCCCAGCCCYGCTGGCTCAGCGAGACTTCTCCCACAGCGGCCGCAGGCGTAGCTGAGCTCCATGCCGCGTCCCAGCCGGTGCCGCACCAGGTCCGGCTTCTGCCCGACGCCTCGGCCACACTCAGCACAATCCAGCGGCGGCTCCCCGGGCCGGCAGTGGYGGCTCTCAAACGCAGGGGGTGCGGTGATGAACCCCCCATTACCGGCACCRGGATTTGGCTCCGGCTCGAGGACGCCGCAGTAGCTGCAGCCCCGTTCCCGCAGTGGGGCAAGGAAGTCGGCGGGGCCGGTGTGGTGGGATGGGGAGGAGTGGGGCAGTGGGGATGCCCCATCCTCGATCTTCACCTCCTTCCCCTGCCAGTCCTCTGTGGAAACAGGAGTGTGTTGGGGAGTGGCCTTCTCACCGGGAAAACCTTGGGACCAAGGCTCTGGCTCGGCAGGATCCGGCGCATTGTCCGAGCCCTGCTCCTGGTCCCACCTGGCCACGATCCTGCCCGTCCCYGTGTCTCGCTCACCCTGGGAGGGGCCAGTGGGTGCCGCCTGTGGCCGGGGGCTCTGGTGCTCTCCATAACGCCCCGCTGCCACCGCCACCCCCTCGTCCCCTCGCTCCACCTCGGCCAGGATGTCCGGTTTGGTGATGGCGTAACCTGTCACAGAGACAAGAGGAGGGACAGCCAATGATGCCACTGGTGATGCCAACGGAGATGCCACCAGTGATGACATTGGTCACAACMGGCCAGTGTTGGCTGCCTGTGGTGATGGGGACAGGCAGCCGGTGTGGTCTCGTGGTGACCCCCGAGCCACCCCGTGACCTCCTGCTCCCAGCCAACCCGGTGAGCGCCGGCCTCACTCATGGCCAGGCCACGACCATTATTGCCAAGACCAGTGCCGGGATGGCCCCGGTGCCTCACCCAGGTCGACGGGATGCTGATGGTCCTCCTTCATGGCACCGGCACCGCCCCGGTCCTCGAGAAATGCGGCGGCAGCTGCTGTCGGTGCTGCTCCCGCCGAGGCCTCACCAGCGCGAGGGATTGCRGTGACTGAGTGATGCCGCACCGGGATGACGGCGCGCGGCCGGGCGGCGGGAGGCGGCGTTGGGCGCTGCCCGTGGGGCCGCTGGTGGAGCCGCTGAGCCCCGGTGGGCCGCGGTGGCGGTGCTGCACCTGTCCCCGTCCCGACCCGTCCCGCCCGCTC